AACCCCAACCCCCTCCTTTTTTTCCCCGTTATTTGTCCATTTTTTCCTCCTTTTGAGTTTCCTCTTCTTTTTCCTTCCCTTCCTCTTCGAACTCTTTTGGAAACAAATTTTTACCATTTCAGTTCAAATTTTTACGATATTCCTTTAAGAAACCAGGAAATTACGAAAATTTCATTAATTCTCAATTTGCGTTTCTTTCACTAATTTCCAATACAAGTTCGTATTTTTCTTAACAATGTGTATTTTTCTAAACTTTTACCTAATTCATTCTTTTTTTAATGTGACTAAAATTCTTAATTTATAAAAATAGAGTAAAAGAAATGTTTCCTAGAGGTATCCGGTGGAGGTGTGATGATCGTTGCTACCAGAGTGCGGGTTTAGCTGATTTCCAATTTTTCTGACACAATATANCAATATGTTCAATGGTAAATTGTAGTGTCATTTGATTATGAAATAACTTATGAGAATTAAATAATAACAGAATTACTAATTAATGGATACACTTTTATTCATAAATATTTGGTTCACAGGACTGAAAATGAGATATAATATAAAATGTATTTGTGTAAATTATATAAATCGGGATAAAATTTTAATTTCAATTTTAACCTTGACTTTCTTTAAAAAATTTAGGAGAAAAGTATTAGAGAGGGAAAATGAGCCTCATATAAAGTGTGGTATAAAAATACTACATATAATTGTGGTATAAATAATCCTAGAATTACTAATCTCAAAATAAAAAAATATTATACACCAAATATGGAATTAAATAATCTCATAATTTTACCAAAATTTTAATCCCTTATCTCACCAAGCAAATTACCCCAAGATTTGAATCCACAAAATATATACTATCTTCTATCTATCTTTTATTACAACCAAGACATTTTAATACCCGATAGGCTAATCATGTCATGTCTGCCCGCCCTGTCAGCACAAGTTGTATTTTCTTTTGTAAAATAAAATAAAATAAACGAGGGAGAACCTTTTAGTATTTCTTATTCTTTTATTTATTTTTTAATGAAATAAAAAATTCAAAACGAAAAAACCCTCCTAATCCCCACTCTCTCTCTCTATTTCCACGAAGTCCAAAAAGAGTGCGCCAGTGTGTGTTTCACGAATCACGCCTCTCTATATATTCATAGCGACACACACTTCCCTCATCCCTTGTGCGTGAGAGAGAAAACAAAACCCCAATTTCACAAGACTCAAAACTCACCGCCACCTTCTTTCTTCTCCATAGCCATATCCACTCTCTCTCTCTCTCACACACACACACATCTTTCTCACTCACTCCATTCGCCATGGCTGCGGAGCAAGCTCAACTGGCTGCAATCCTCGGGCCAGATTCAGCACCCTTTGAAACCCTTATCTCTCATCTCATGTCTGCTTCCAACGAGCAACGGTCCCAAGCAGAGTCGATTTTCAATCTCATCAAGCAAAACGATCCGAATTCGCTCGCTCTGAAGCTCGCCAACGTCCTCACCTCTTCCTCGCACCAGGAAGCCCGCGCCATGTCAACAATTCTCTTACGAAAGCTCCTCACGCGTGACGACTCGTTCATTTGGCCCAAACTCACCGAGTCAACTCAGTCGGGGATTAAAACCGTGCTCCTCACTTGCATCCAACGCGAAGAATCAAAATCGATAATTAAGAAGTTGTGCGATACTGTATCGGAACTCGCCTCTTCGATTCTCCCCGAAAACCAGTGGCCGGAATTGTTGCCGTTTATGTTTCAGTGTGTTACTTCTGATTTACCTAAATTGCAGGAATCCGCGTTTTTGATATTCGCGTTGTTGGCACAGTATGTTGGGGAAATGTTAGTTCCGTATATTAAGGATTTGCATTCAGTGTTTATGCAGACGCTGAATCATTCGCCCAATCCTGATGTGAGGATTGCTGGATTGAGTGCTGTGATTAATTTTATTCAGTGTTTATCGAGCTCGAACGATAGGGATAGGTTTCAGGATCTGTTGCCTGCGATGATGAAGACGCTGACCGAGGCGTTGAACAGTGGGCAGGAGGCGACTGCGCAGGAGGCGTTGGAGTTGTTGATTGAATTGGCGGGTACTGAGCCTAGGTTTTTGAGGAGACAACTTGTTGATGTGGTGGGTGCAATGTTGCAAGTAGCCGAGGCAGAGAGTTTAGAAGAGGGGACGAGGCATTTGGCCATTGAGTTTGTGATTACGTTGGCTGAGGCGAGGGAACGAGCGCCTGGAATGATGAGGAAATTGCCGCAGTTTATTAGTAGGTTGTTTGCTATTTTGATGAAGATGTTGCTCGATATCGAGGATGAGCCCGTCTGGCATAGTGCTGAAGTTGAGCATGAGGATGCAGGGGAGACGAGTAATTACAGTGTTGGTCAGGAGTGTTTGGATCGTTTGGCGATTGCATTGGGCGGTAGTACTATTGTTCCTGTTGCGTCAGAGCAGTTACCTCCTTACTTGGCTGCTCCCGAGTGGCAAAAGCACCATGCTGCACTCATTGCACTTGCTCAGATTGCTGAAGGTTGCACAAAGGTACTAATGAATTTTCTATTTCATTTGTCTTTGTACTTTGTTAGCACCTTTTACTTTAGGTCTATATGTCAGTAGAAATTATAAAAAACTTCTAGTACATTTTATTTTTATATTGTATAATGTTGGCCTGAGATGTGTTTATATGGAGTAAGGTTCATATAGCCGACCCAACTGTTTGGGCTTAGTTGTTGTATATGTCTTTATCTCTCGCAGTTCCATTTTATGCGAGATTTTAATATGTCAATTTAACTTGTATATCATATTAATGATAGAGCAAGAACCTGTTAAAGTAAATATTTGTTTGATTGTGTAAAAGTTAATTTATGTAGTGTACTTTTACATATATTGCTGAAATTGTAAAAGTTGTTTATAAATGGAATTGTGTCAAATACTTCGGGACATTCTGGAAAGGGTAGATGTCACATAGATTAGGACAGAGGGAGTAGTTATTAAGAGTGAGTTCTGATGACTGTAGGCCCATCTATGTTGAACATCATAGTGAAGATGGTGCTTTTTGATGGCTATTTACTTGCTACTATAGCACAGCTGAATCGGTTACTGATCCTCATTGGTCGTTTTGGTGATTTTCACGAGTGTTAGCTAGCTGGAGTTTATTGGACTAGTATTGGTTTTTAAACAGTGCCATGTTGCCAATCATGCAAGTATATTTATGTATGAGTTGAAGACACTTTACTCTGCAATCTGTCTGAATTCTGTCTGTTTGTCAATTTAAGTCTTGCTTATTTTGCTTTGCTGGTTGATTTTATTTCCGTGGCTTTTTTTTCGCCTGTGATAGGTGATGATTAAGAATTTGGAGCAAGTGGTAAACATGGTTTTGAGCTGTTTCCAAGATCCTCATCCTCGAGTGAGGTGGGCAGCTATTAATGCAATTGGCCAGTTGTCAACTGACTTGGGGCCAGATTTGCAAGTGCAATACCACAGCAGAGTACTGCCGGCATTGGCATCAGCTATGGACGATTTCCAAAATCCACGAGTACAGGTGTGTCCTAGTGCAATTGGAACCCTTTATAGATGTTGTACCTTTGCGAAATGCCCCTTTTAAACAGTAGCAGAAGATAATGCTTAATAAAGGAGAGCCGAAGGCTTAACTTTTTATAGTATTGGTTTCATCCCTGTAGGATTTTTAATTATTGATTGCTGTCATCTGAAGAAACAAGAAGAATACACTGCAAATAAAGGATATATACATATGACACCAATTAGTTGAGATTATGATGTAGCTGTTTTTATTTGTACACTTACACTAGGTCAGAAGTTTTATTCCCCCTTTTTTAAACGTACCTCTAGTTTTTGGAGAACCCTTAATTTGCCTTATGGAAAAATTAATATTGATGAAATGAAATGGGTGTGAAAAGAGCGGAGCTGACACTTAGATTGAACCCAACGTAATTTGGATTGAGGTTTAGCTGATTGTTGTCACTTGTGGGAAGAATGATAAATTGCTTTTTTTTTTTTTTAATAATATGTGACTATACTTGATTAATAATTAGGGGTAGCGAATGTTTTCAGTACCTGATTAATCATTGGTGATGGTGAGTTTTTGTAACTTCAAAAGTGTTCTTCTGCTTCCACTTTTTTTGGGAACTAGTCTGCACTTAACTATCATATACGTTACTGTTGGTTATGGTGCTTATGCATGTTATTGCTTGGTTTGGTTGTCAATGCAGTTAATTATTGTTTTTGCTTTTTTTTTTTTCTTTTGCTTTATTCGCAGGCACATGCTGCATCAGCTGTCCTCAACTTCAGTGAGAATTGCACACCAGAAATTTTGACACCTTACTTAGATGGAATTGTTAGCAAACTGCTTGTACTTCTGCAGGTACTCTACAAGATAGCATAATAGTGTCTTATTTTTTAGTACTGACAAATGATGCTCATGGTTTCATTCTGCTCTTTGCTATTGTCTGAAATGCAGAACGGCAAACAAATGGTGCAAGAAGGAGCATTAACTGCTTTGGCTTCGGTGGCTGATTCATCCCAGGTATTAACTTGTTACAGTTTTTCTGATACCAGTATATTTTTATTTCCATAGTGGACTGCAATGGTTGATAAATTACATTCAACAGGAGAACTTCCAGAAGTACTATGACGCTGTAATGCCATATTTGAAAACAATCTTGGTAAATGCGAATGATAAATCTAACCGCATGCTTCGAGCCAAAGCCATGGAGTGCATAAGCTTGGTTGGGATGGCTGTTGGCAAGGACAAATTCAGAGATGATGCTAAGCAGGTCAGTATGACAATAGAGAACAATTTGCCAAGTTTTAATGAGTGAGATTTTAGTTTAACTTAGCTAAAGATAGAGCATAATGGAAGATAAAGATCCATATAGGTGATACCTACTTGTTGGAAATAGGATTTAGACTAGGTAGAGAACTTTCATTATTATAAAAATATTTATCTTTTTTTTTTTGCTTTCACTTTTACTTTATTTCGGGAATGATCATATCGCCGACCCCAACTTGTTTGGGACTGAGGCGTAGTTGTTGTTGTTGTATTGTAGATATCAATTCCCTTACATGAAACTTTATTATCTTTACAGGTTATGGAAGTGCTTATGTCATTACAAGGATCACAAATGGAGACGGATGACCCTACTACTAGTTATATGTTGCAGGTTTGGGTGCATTCCTTGAATCCAAAGACACAGGAACTTATTTGAACACCGTCATCACTACATTCTTGATTTCATTGTAGGCATGGGCCAGGCTTTGCAAGTGCTTGGGACAGGATTTCCTTCCTTACATGAGTGTAGTCATGCCTCCTTTATTACAGTCTGCTCAACTAAAGCCCGATGTGACAATATCATCTGCAGATTCAGACAATGAACTTGATGAATCAGATGATGATAGGTAATATTTTCTCAATGAAGTTTACACTTGTACCTTTAACTGGAAGTTCCTTGCTGATTGGGTTCGTCTCAGCTGGTGTTACTTGTCAATTTGTATCTTGCGTTATGTAGAAATTTGTTGGTAAAAAATATAAAATTGGTGAAATATGCTGGTCAGACTTGGGTTAAACTGTTAATGGCAGGAAACAGTAGAAAACCTTGTAAAAAAGTTACTAAAAGTTGAAACCTTCAGAATTCCAAATAAATTGCTATATTTTATTCTTTGATTTAAAATAACAGCAATAACACTCACAATGTATTGACTTCAGTCTAAGGAAATTGTTGTGGAGTACGTTTCCACATCTTTCGTATGCCATTCTGCAGATGCCCAGCATAACTTCATGAGTTGGAAGGAAATGATCATTCTTTGTGACTAGAGTTTTCTCAGGGTGAAGAAAAATTTTTGTTTGATTTTGGGTTCTTAAGTTGCATTTCAAATAGATCAATGCCCGACATAGTATTTATCATGATAAATTATTTAAAGTAAATATTGTTTTTCCTTCTGAAACATAAGAAAATGAAATGTGCATTCTGTCCAGAGGGAGAGCATTTTCATTTACATCCATATAAGTTGAATAATACAACAACAACAACAACAACGACCCAGTATAATCCCACAAGTGGGGTCTGGGGAGGGTAATATGTACGCAGACCTTACCCCTACCCCGAAGGGTAGAGAGGTTGTTTCCAGGAGACCCTTGGCTCAAAAAAGCAATAGGAGATGATTTTGACTAAAAACAACGGAGCTATTTTCAAACTTGTTTTGATGTGTTTTGAACGGATTTTGATGGTTGANACTCAAAAAAGCAACAGCAGCCGATATATTAGTACCATAAAAATGTATAATAAAATAACATCAATATATAAGAAATATGAAATACAGAATACAAAATACGAAATAGATGGCTGGTATAGTAAAACTAGAAGGTAAAGCNGATCTTTCTTCCCGCATCTTGTCCTCCATGGGGGCCACACCCACCTTCTCTCGAATATCTTCATTCCT